GTGAAATAATCTGCCAGTGGAACTAGTATTATTTGAATCCAAATGCAGATTTTTATTTGCTAAAAAAAATTCAAACCATGTCATTTCCCTTCTCCTTCACATTTATGCATTACTTTGTGTTGCTCTGTCACATAAAATCTCATTTAAATAAGTGGAAGTTTGTGTTTGCATAGCGACAAAATGCAAAAAAAAAATAAATACTTTAACAGTGCCCCCAGAAAGCATTCGTAAAGTATTTACAGGTCTGTCGTGATAAAGATGCTTCCCAGTAATGAGGCGCTAAGTCCCATTTATTATTCCTAACAAATCCTGACGGCCTTTCACAGTTTGCATCATCGAATAAATCGCAAAATCTGAATAAGGCCTCTTCGCATAACAAGTCTCTCAGTCCTGTTAAGTGAGCCAGGACCAGTTTGGCCTCAGCCTCACATTTAGAGGTGTGAACGTGGCACGACAGTGAATTGTACTCATCCCTGATTTTTTTCTTTTCTCACCAACACTCCCCCTCCTCCATTAAAACAAAAAAAAAGACCAACACACACAGGCAGACTCCCCATCCCCCGCCCTTTCTTCCCTTTCCCCTCCCCTACCAACACAAGTCTGTGATGTGACAGTCTTAGATAAAAAAAGGCGAGAATTTTATTGCAGCAGTCTGTGAGGCTGGCAACAGACCTCCTTTGTGACCCACAGCTGAGGGCTCCCTGGTGTTGGGCGCCCTCTGTTGGCCGCGTCCTCTCGGGTTCCTGCACTTCAAAGTGGGAGATCAAGGGCCGACTTGCGCATGACATCCAGAGAATGACAATACCACAGCCAGCCTACAACTGCTGCAAGGTGCCTGCTGCAGGACACAAAGGCATGCAGGCAGCTCCCGCGCTGGTTCTTCTCACGGAGGAGTGGGAGGCGGGGGGGTTACATACAGGAAGGAGGCAGTGCAGCGACTGTGGTGGGCAGAGGCTACATGAGGGGAAGTGGAAGGACAGCAGAGGAGACAGGCTGGCAACAGATTGTCTGAGGTGTCCTGTTTGATTACTGAAGCATTAATTGATAAGATTCATCACTTATCTTTATGTTTCTTTGAACTGGTTAGGATTGGTCTGGGGGCGAAACGAAACATGTCTATTACATTTCTTTTGCACAAAACCATTCTTAGATCAGTTCTGCTTATTTAGTTTTAGGGTGTCTTGTCACTCTAAATCTAAATAAGCTGCTGCTGGCCACAGCCAAAGAAATAAACATTTACACTCGCACGTGAAAATGATTGCAAACAAATGCGCAATCATGAAACCGTACATCTTTGAAAAGCAGAAGTGGAGCCTTCTGTAGAACCAACAGAAACCCAGAAATGGTTTCTGGGTGGTAAGTCAACACCAAAACGCTTGTCTTGTCCAGTAGCCTTTGTACAGCGTATACAGAGGTAAAACCAGCAGACCAAACGTGCTGCAGCTTCACTGGCGTTGCTAAGTGAGGGGCAGTCACTGCTAAATTGTGTCGTTATATTCTGGAGGTTTTTAAAACGGCTCATTTTCCAGACATAAAAACATTACATTATTGCTGAAAATCGTCTGGGTGTTTTTTTGGCCAGTATTAAGAACCATCTGAGACCCAAATGGAAGTACAAACATGCAAAACGTGAATTTTGCATAACAGGTCCCTTTAAAACATCAGACTATTGATACATGACAGTGAGGTCAAACAGCTTTCTGACCGGATTTTCCGGAATATAAATTGCACTTTTTTCATAATTTGGCTGGTTCTTCAACTTGTAAATTTTTTCCTCTTCATGACACATTTTTTGACTGACACAACTTGTACTCTGAGCCAATAGGAAAGTACAGTACGATCCTCACCTGCCAGCTGAACCCACACTCCTAAAATAAAAGAAAGCATGCATAGCTGATGTAAACTAGAAAAAGCAGAAATGAAACTCACATTTTTAACAGAGCCAAGGACACACCTGCATCCACACTGCAAAAACACAAAATATTACCAACTACTTTTGGTTTAGTTTCTAATGTAAATATATATGCACACACTTTAAATAAGACAAAACTAACTTACAAGTAACTTTTCAGCAACAAATCGGAGCTTGTTTTAAGAAAATAACTACTTAATACTGATTTTTTTTAAGTTCTAGTTCCACTGCCAGATTATTTCGCTTTTAACAAGACATTTCTCCAATGTTATCAATGTTTATCAAAATTAAGGAATTATTTACCTAAAAAAAAAAAAGCTCCAACATTTTGTTGAAAAGTTACTAGTAAGTTAGTTTTGTCTTATTTAAAGTGTGCTCATATATTTACACTAGAAACTAGACCAAAGGTAATATTTTGCGCTTTTGCAGCGTGGATACGGGTGTGATCTTGGCTATATTTTTTTTAAAAAGCGAGTTTCTTTTTTTTTTTCTAACTTACATGAGAAATGCATGCTTTTATTTTATTTCCACTAGAAACTAGAGCAGAAATAGTTGTTAAGTTTTGTGTTTTTGCAGGGCGGCCCTAGAAGCCGGAGTGAGGGGGAGTGGGACCAGCGGCGTCTTGTGATCAGGCTGTCATTTCCTCTCCTCGACTCTGTTGTTCCTGAAAAAGGCCTTTGAGAAGGAGCCAAGTGGTCCTGGCAGTGACAGTAGGTGGGCTCCTCGCGTGGATCTGGTGAGACCGTCAGAGGGGGGAGAGGAGGTCTGGTTGGGCCCCTGGCAGGCCGAGACGAAGAGAAAAACAAACACATTGATGAAACAAGACGGAGAAATCCTGTCCCTGGTGGCGAATACACTTCACAGCAAACCAGAGGTGATTTACGGTACAGTAAAGAAAACAATCTAAATGATGACAAACCTGTCTGGTGCAGACTTATGATGGCAGCGTGACTGCAGATCTTGAAAGAAAGAGGAAATGAGAGTATTTAAAATTGAAACTCTCCTTTCTCCACACTACAACCACAAACTTCTGTGTTTTATTAATGTTTTAAAGAAATAAACACAGAACACACCACAACACATAGTTGTTAAGTGGAAAGAGAATGAAACATTGTTTTCTACAGAAAATAACCTGAAAAGTGTGGCGTGCATTTCTGCAGACGCCCATTTTTATTGATACTCCCATAAAAATCACCATGAACTTTTGATCAAACTATATCCAGATGTTAGAAAGACCTAGTCAAAGTCCAGACTTAACTAAATTTAATAGCTAGTGGAAGGAACTGAACATTTCTGAGTTTTGTTACAAACATTTCAGAAAGATGCTGCAGCAAAAGACAGATTAACCAAATGTTGACTCAGAGAGGTTGCATATAAATGCACACCACACTTTTTAGATTTTTAATTTGTAAAATGTTTTGAAAAGTTTGCTTCTACTTCACAATTATGGGGAGTTTTCAGTTAGTATATCACATAAAATATCATAAAAATATAGAAAATGTGGAAAATGTGACAAAGTTCAAGGTTTATGGATGTGTTAGTCAGATAAGGTAGATGCTGTAATAAAGATAAAAGTTATATAATAAGTTAACTCTCTCATTATTCAGGTTATTAAACCCAGAGGGTATAATAACCTGATTTCTAGCAGAATTAGATTCTGATAGAAATCCAAAAGGTTTTGTTTTAGATTATCATCTGTTTGCACTGATGTTCTCATAAGGGATCAAAAGGAAAATACAAAGGTTCTGTGAATTCATCCTTCATAAAGTTCATGCGTTTTTCCACGAAATACAAAAGTCTTGCAGCAAAAACGTCAAAGGCGATTATTTGTAGCCCCATTCATCTTCCCATCTGACCTCCACTGACAGACCAAACCTGGAGAAACTCTGAAGGAGCTGCAAAGAACCACAGATATTTAAAGAGTTTAAGTTTAAAATCGGGTTGTTTGAAACGGCAGAATGGTTGTGTGGTTGAATGGTTATGGTTGTAGCGTGACTGAATGTGAAATTTTCCATACAGCTAAATTATACTGAAAAATCGTAAAACAAATATCTTGGCCTTGGTTGTGAAAAAAACTAATCTAAAATTTTTTAAATTAGAAATAGAAGTAAAAGTAAATAAAAGTAATAAAAGAAATAAAAGTAAAATGCATTCCTTCATGATGGCATATGACATTTTATTGATCAAAATGTAGCATGTAAAACTGGACCCGGGCTAAAATGACAAAAGATTTCCAAATTACGACTAAAATTAAAATATGTTTCAGTCAAAATTATGACTAAAGGACATTAAAATGTGGAGTTAAAATTAGTAAAGAAATTGTTGACTATTTATTGATACAACTGAAGAACAAAATAAAGTTGTAAATTATTCCATTTACTGTCTATGCCCACTTAACCTACAAGGTGTCTAATAATCATAATCATTTCATAATTAAATTTATTTATAATTATCTTTGTGTATTATACATACATAAATGTTAATATTATATTAATTCCCTATAATAAAATTTCAAACAAGAAATTCAATGTTTATTTAAACTATTTCTTCAAATGACAAAAGATTTCCAAATTATGACTAAAATTAAAATATGTTTCAGTCAAAACTATGACTAAAGAAAATTTGAATGCGGAGTTAACGTTAGTAACTCTGATCAATTAAATTGATCGGAGCAGTTTAAGCCCAACCTTTTAACTTCCACAGGTAAGGCTGACAGCAACACAAAACAGTTTAATAATAAATAAATACTACGAACATGTGTCCTATGGATGGTAAAAAGGTGTGTTGATTATTCATGTATGTAAAACCTTTTGATGTATGGAGGACCATAACTGACATAATTAAAAATAAACGCAGAAATATATGTATTTTGTGTTTCCTTTTCCCTATACAAGTGTTTTCATAAAAAATGTATATATTTTTTATTTTCCTTATGTGTTTTCATCAAGAAATGTATATATTTTTCTTTCCTTTTTCCTTCATACTTGCGTTTTCATGCATAACTGTAGTTTGTGTATGTTATTATTAAATAGCCTAGACATTTTTTTTGCACTGCCATACTTACTTGCCGACTTTCATCCTTAAAAATGTCAATTTATTTGTTGTTTAAAAGTAGGTCAAGGAGCGCCCTCTAGTGTTTAACTGAGTTCTCCCACAGGATCAAATCAAAGTGACGTGAATATTTTTGTCACATAACACCGCAGGCCCGCGAAGGACACACACACTTTCCGGGTGTTTAAAATTAGATGTGTGTCACCTATCCACGCAGGTCGCTAGTTGTCCCTCGAAGAACAGCGAAACCCAGCCGGAGGGTCGAGTTCAGAGTTCAGGCTAAACAACCAGAGAAATGGTGGTCTCGGTGAAAAACGACACCCGGCTGACCAGTTCTCAGAGCTTCCTCTGCGCTGGTTTCGCTGGTTTGTTCAGCAAAACCGTCACGTCTCCTCTGGAAGTGGTGAAGATTAAACGTCAGGTGGGAACTTTTCACGGCAAAGGCGGTTTCCTGCAAACTTTTATCGTCATCTACCAGAATGAGGGACTTCGAGGATTTTGGAAAGGGAACATGGTCTCCTGTCTCCGGCTGTTTCCATATACAGCAGTTCATCTAACCACATACAAGAAGTAAGTTTAGCAGGGAAATGCATAATAATGGGATTAACTGCCTCAAATTGTATCTTATTTTATAGCTGCTTGTGTTACTATTCATTTATTACTTCACTTTTTGTACATACTGACTTTGCAAATTGGCGCTATTATTTGGATGAAGCATTTTAAGTCGTGTGATGTTTTAAAATATAAAAAAAAATGCTGTTTTGTTATTGTTTTACCGTTTACTTTACAGATACTGAAATACTTCCTGTTTAGACCGTGTGATACGCACCCTCTTGTTTTCAGCCAATCAGAAGCCTCCATTTACTCAGTCGATTTTTAAACGGCAAGATGTTTCGTTTGCCCGAAGTTTTGTCTGGCAGGTTATGATAATAGGTTTAATCGGTACTTTATAGAAAATATATTCGCCAGAGGCAGAAATACAGTATATAAGACAATTTTAGAGATATAACAAAAAACAATATTATATTTTGCCTCCTAACTTCACCAGCTTCTGCGGATTGGGTAAAGTTAATACATTAGGACTCAAACTTTCATTAGGAATATAGATTGATAAGCTAACTATTACACAACTTGTAAATCATCTGTTGATTAAAAAAGTAACAAGTTAAAAGTAATGGTTGAAACTGTTCAACATTGAAGTAAATCTATATTACTACCATAAAATCTTATAAATTGATAATTCATCATTCTATAGATACCAAATTTTAAAAAATTGTTTATTAGTTTAATATTTTTACATTTTTTTATTAATTTTATTAGATTTCATGTTGAAAATTTTCTTCCTTACTTAAATGATGTAATTAAATACTGTGAAATTAGTGCAACATGAACGAGAGCATTTTTGAAGTTATGTATTATAGAAGAAAAATGACTTGTGTTCAAAAATGACTTATGTGCTCAAAGTATCTTTAGCAATAAAAACCTTTAGTTTCGTTTAAAGAACATTTTTAATGAATGCAAAACACATGTCTGTAAATTATACATGTTTAGGAATTGGGCAAAATTAGCTTGTTGAGCTGATTATTAACTTTTAAATATATTTGACAAAATAAATACTAATCACATAATTATTCAGCTGTAATAAAGAAACTGTGTTTCATGTTTAAATTGTTTGGGGTTTCTAAAACTTGCTAAAAGGGGAATTCCTGCCTGTGAGACTGAACTGAGGGCAAACGGAATGAAATCACATGTGCTGGGTTACCAGAGGGCAAAACAAACTGCTGATCTCCGACAGCATGGATACAGGAAAAAGGGCATTAAGCTGAGCAGTAATCCAGCAAAGAGCAATAAATCCGGCTGGTCATGCTTTATAACACGTGTTTGAATTCCTGGTTTTATAAAAGTAAATTATTCAGTGCTCACCTTTTCCTGTCTAGAAGCGACAGCAGCAACTGTTCCAGGAAAAGAAACCCCCTTCATCTTAGCTCATGTTTTTTTTTTTTTTTTTAAATCATATTTCCTGTTGAAGGTTTCAGGTTATCAGCCTGAAAAGTAAAATACTGAGCATAAACATCCACAGAAATATTTATGTTTTTACATTTAAACAACAGTTGTAGTTTTTACACCAATGTAGAAAGTGCTTAATATATTAAACAAGATCCACAACACTTGTTGAATCTACTTAGATAAATGAGATTTTAAAAATGTTATTGCCTAAAATACAATAAAAATGTGAAACCAAAACTGCCACTTGAGGAGTTTTGAGCAAAACATATTTACTGACAAAGGTGTTTATATAATCTTTTATTTATACAGGAACAGTCTCTTGAGACGCATTGTCTCTTTTACAAGAGACATTATATGTTGCATTCATCACAAAAAGACAAATGCAAATGAATAAAAAATGCAAAATGTATATATTTTTTAATTGATTTTGTTTAACTACTGCTCTAAATATATTGCTTTTTCAGCAAATTACTATTTTTTTGAGTATGCATACTCCAGTTAATCAATTACTAAATTACTAGATTATATTATTTCAAAGATCGATTCATCACTGTTCATTATTGACCCCTGTTTGTGTGCAGGATCGTCCACCTTCACATGGATGAGCTGGGCTTCATCTCCCAGTGGAGGGCCATATTAGCTGGCGGACTGGCTGGCGTCGCTGCTGCCCTGCTCACGTATCCTCTGGAGGTGGCGGAGACCCGACTGATCGTCCAGAACTGCAGACAGCGGACCTACATCGGCGCAGCTCACACCATCTCAAAGATCTACAGGAACGAAGGCCTGCCTGCTCTCTACAGAGGATTCTCCCTCACCGTTCTGGGTACGCACAACTCATTTATTCAACACATGCGTCTGACATCGATACTAAATTATTTTCTACTTCCTCCATCTTCTCCGCCTGCAGGTGCGGTTCCCTTTTCAGTCGGATGCTACGTGGTTTACATGAATTTGGACAAGCTGTGGCAGGAGCCGTCGTTTCGCTTCACTCCTCTGCAGAACTTCATTAACGGCTGCATTGCAGCGGGAGTCGCTCAAACGCTCTCATACCCCTTTGAAACCGTTAAACGGAAAATGCAGGTGGGTAACAAGCAGCTTAACAAATTTAATTTGGTCTGTTTTTCCTCCATTTTGTGTTATTTTTATAAATTTGTTAATGAATAATATAAATGACAAATTCACAAAATGAACCCTGCGAACAGGAATGATAGTTCCTGAGAAAAATGTGTCTTCAGTGGGTTAAAGGAGAAGAAAGTTGTATAAATTCACATATGAAAAGGAAAACATAAAACTCTGATATTGTTTTCAGTTTTCTGGAAACTGTGATTTTGATTATTTGGATCCACCTTTGAAATTGCACAATATCAGAGTAAATAAAATATTAAATGTTATGTTTTGTCAGAATTTTAAAATTAGGCTTTGCAAAAAA